TGCCAACACACATTTCAGTTCAAACAGCTTGTAAAAGTGCATGTAGCATCCTATGACCCCTTTTAAGAAGCACCCTCAGTGATTTGATTCTGGAGCCGGGCCTGACACTGGTAAAACCAATTTGGACCTTGATGGCCAGAGTTGAGAGTACATCTCTAGAGTACATTTTCAAAGTATATATAAATGTATAAACATTTAGCAAACTCCATGTTTCTAATGGAGTTCAAATCTCAGTCCTAAATTTTCTTTAGGTAATACTTAAGTAAGTATAGTGCACATACATTTCAGGTTTGAGAATTCTCCTAATTATTTTTTTAGTGGCGAGGAAGTGCATGTTATGTTTATGATGATATAAGCATAATAGGTGCTAAAAAAAATACTGGTTTTGAAGCAGGGGGCTGGGAACCACTAGGCGCCTTGGCAAACCTTAAATGGGGACCTAATACGTTTTAAAATGTATTAATACGTAGAGGTAATCACCCATGAATGAATTAATGAATGCAGACGAGAGCTGGAGGAACAGTTACAGAGACAGAACAACAGGTAGAGAAGAAGAAAGGGAGAATGAGGCCACCTGAAAGAATGAATGGTCAAGCCAAGTCAAGTCACTTTTATTTATATAGCACTTTACAGATTGTGTCAAAGCAGCTTTAGAGTGTTAAACAGGAAAAACGTGTGCTGATAATGCAAGAGGACAATAGTAAACAGTCAGTTTATCAGTTGAAGTCGGTTCATTGTTGATTCAGTGATGTCATCGTCCAGCTCAGTTTAGTTCTCTTCCAAGTGTGTTTCCCGCTGTTGTCGCATACTGTTTTAAAAAGCACATGTGATATTTATCTACTTCGGGTCCTAATTAGGCGACGACCAGCACATGAACTGTTGTGCAGTGCTGCTTACTTTAGAAAGCAGTAAAAGTGCCCCATATCCTGCACCCAAAACCAGTCTCTGTTGATGAGAGTCTTATAAACTCCCCTTTCACTCAGCGTCTGTGAAGCGTCCGGGAGAACACATCATCCTCTTCTTCGTCTTCACTGACTGTTTAGTTTGAAGCGTGCATTTCTGTGGTAAGAGCAGGGAGCGTGCAATTGGCATGCTGACTGCAGGAATGTCCACCAGAGCTGTTGCCCGTGAATTGAATGTTCATTTCTCTACCATAAGCTGTCTCCAAAGGCGTTTCAGAGAATTTGGCCGTACATCCAACCGGCCTCACAACCGCAGACCACGTGTAACCACACCAGCCCAGGACCTCCACATCCAGCATCTTCACCTCCAAGATCGTCTGAGACCAGCCACCCGGACAGCTGCTGCAACAATCGGTTTGCATAACCAAAGAATTTCTGCACAAACTGTCAGAAACCGTCTCAGGGAAGCTCATCTGCATGCTCGTCGTCCTCATCGGGGTCTCGACCTGACTGCAGTTCGTTGTCGTAACCGACTTGAGTGGGCAAATGTTCACATTCGATGGCGTCTGGCACTTTGGAGAGGTGTTCTCTTCACGGATGAATCCCGGTTTTCACTGTACAGGGCAGATGGCAGACAGCGTGTATGGCGTCGTGTGGGTGAGCGGTTTGCTGATGTCAACGTTGTGGATCGAGTGGCCCATGGTGGCGGTGGGGTTATGGTATGGGCAGGCGTATGTTATGGACAACGAACACAGGTGCATTTTATTGATGGCATTTTGAATGCACAGAGATACCGTGACGAGATCCTGAGGCCCATTGTTGTGCCATTCATCCACGACCATCACCTCATGTTGCAGCATGATAATGCACGGCCCCATGTTGCAAGGATCTGTACACAATTCCTGGAAGCTGAAAATATCCCAGTTCTTGTATGGCCAGCACCGGACATGTCACCCATTGAGCATGTTTGGGATGCTCTGGATCGGCGTATATGACAGCGTGTTCCAGTTCCTGCCAATATCCAGCAACTTCACACAGCCATTGAAGAGGAGTGGACCAACATTCCACAGGCCACAATCAACAATCTGATCAACTCTATGCGAAGGAGATGTGCTGCACTGCGTGAGGCAAATGGTGGTCACACCAGATACTGACTGGTTTTCAGACCCCCCCGGACCCCCCAATACAGTAAAACTGCACATTTTAGAGTGGCCTTTTTTTTTTGTTGCAATAATCATGCTGTCTAATCAGCATCTTGATATGCCACACCTGTGAGGTGGATGGATTATATATATACACACACTGAACAAAATTATAAACCCATTTTTCATGAGCTGAACTCAAAGATCTGAGACTTTTTCTATGTACACAAAAGGCCTATTTCTCTCAAATATTGTTCACAAATCTGTCTAAATCTGTGTTAGTGAGCACTTCTCCTTTGCCGAGATAATCCATCCACCTCACAGGTGTGGCATATCAAGATGCTGATTAGACAGCATGATTATTGCACAGGTGTGCCTTAGGCTGGCCACAATAAAAGGCCACAATCATTTGATTTATGAGATGCTCACTACTGTGAACAGTATAAATCTTCTTTGAGTACTCTTTACCATTATTAAAAACCGTGGCAAGAACTTTGACAGATTCTGGTTTATGGTCTGGGTCCTGGAGAAAAAAAAAAAAAGAAGAGAGAAATGCTATTTACACTGCATTCTGGAATGCATTTCAAAATAAATCTCAATCCAAACTTAATCTGACAAAAAATAACTTTGGCTACGCAAACGTCATGCACTTCACAAAAATGGTTAGTCAAGTAAAAGTATTTATAGAAACAGGTCACTCTTTTAGTTGTCTACTCTCAACACTACAAAGCCACCGTCGCGTCCGTTGTCCGGTAAAGCTCGCCGCGCATCACGCGTGTGCGTCGAGACGAGGATGGGGGTGGGGGAAACAACTCTGTCCAATAATTTGGACTGCAGTACCCATTTCACTACAGTAACTACAAACTAATACAGTGTTTCCCATACATTGCTTTATTTGTGGCGGACCGCCACAATATTTTAAAACTGAACGCCACAAATAGATTTTCCTTTGACTTCGTTGAATTATCATGAGCACTGCACGTTTAAAAATCAAAAACCGGCGCGGGTGTTTTTATATCACTGTATTTCAGAAGGAAACCGACTGTCTTCAGGAAATTTTCGATGTAATTTTCATTTCATCTTTCATCTAATGCCTATATATATATATATATATATAATTAATTAACTTTGCATAAGTACATTTATGGTGTAATTATTTCGCGGGTTTATTTGTCTGGTCCCCTCCATCATCAGATAATGACACATATGCGTGACCGAGTTTAACGCAGACTTGTATTGGGTAAAGTCAAACACTTTTGAGGAACGGAAATACGTACCTTGAGTTCATAACTTATATATATGATTGAGCACAGGAGGAAACCGTAATATGAACGTAGAAATAGCACTCATGCTTTAACACAGCACACATCTCTGAACGCACCTGATGAATCACGACAACCTCCACATTAAACTGTAGGCTGTAGCGTACACATCTTTTATAAAATGTTCTAGTGCAAAAGACAAATTTTTCGTCATGTTTTTCTGTTCCAGCATGTCTGTCTTTTTTCAAAGGTGTTACTGACACCTGCTTAGTGCCCGCCGCCATTTCCCAACAAATCGCAAACGAACTTCGATTAGATGTTGCAGCATTACACATTTTAAAGGTTATTGTTTTCAAACTAGCGAGCTAATAACTGTGAACATCTCAAAATAAAAAGTTTACTTACAGATCAGTGTCCGCCAACATCTTGGTTCTTCTCAAGCCAGCCAGAGCGAAAAGAGCGCGAGAACGGAGGCTGCTGCTATTTAAAATGACGTGATTGGGCGAAAAAACAACAACCGTTAATCATTTAAGTTTGATGTAGTCACATGTATTTATACACATTTTATTTATGATTTTTTAAATTTGTTTTAGGGATTTTTCATGTGCTATTTATATAAAATGTGATGTATTTTTTATTTCACAAATACAAACTGCCCTCCCCCAGGAGATAACACATGTACTGTGCCGATCTATGCAGAGGCATTAAAACAAATTACACATTATGTCTTAAAAATCTACACAACATGTGTCAGAATGCTATCAACACAACCATGTGTGTTGTTTTTTGACACATCCGTTTTTGCAGTGTAGTTGACATGGTCTCCGCTTACATTTAGGGCTATTGTGGTCATCTCTAGGTGCTGAACCACCATCTGGTCTGGATATGGGCTGGATCTTGGTGGCTACGGTGACCTCGGAATAAGAATGAAAGAAACTAATATTAGCGTAGATGCCATCCTTATTATGATGTAACAAGTGCATCAGGTGTTATGGGAAGTGTTGCCGGTTCTGGTTGACCTAATTAATGCAGCCTAACAATCCTTTAACGGATTTGAATTATAGAAAAGTGATTGTGTGTTATGTGTATGCCAGGTTAAAGAGATGGGTCTTTAATCTATATTTAAACTGACAGAGTGTGTCTGCCTCCCGAACAACCAACTTTAACATTTTTGGACCAATTGAGATGGACTGATTCCAACATGTGTGACATTACCTCATTCTGGACATTTTTTTTTTTTTTTTTTAAAAGGTACAAAATAAACATACAAACTAAACTACATTAAATAATGTTTCGCTATCAAATTAGCATGGTTTGTGCCAGCCACAATTATTGGCACAAAAAACAAACATTTAGAAACCAAAATTGTATATGGTAGTGGTTACTTGTTTAGACTTTGAGTTTGGTTTCAGTTGCTGATCTACATTCTCAGGCGAAAACTGTGGTCTTCCACTGGTATAGGAGATGTGAAAAATTTTACTGGTTATAAATGTTTTATTTGAGTTGCCATGGTAGTAGCATTAACAAATGTCAGAAAAATTTATAGTTTTTCTCATTAATGTGGTCAAACACCAAAATACCAAGCTTGATCTTGTGTTTTTATCTAAAAAAAAGATACACTTATTTTGATCTTTTGACTTAAAGCTTTAATGGATGTTCCTAGTCATGACATTACTCATTTCTTTGCTATGTAGAGAAACAACAGCAGATGGAGGCAGAGCAGCAGGACTCGTATGTTCTAGCTGACCAAGACTTACACAGAGTTTACTGGCGCAGCAGCCTGCCTCCTTCAGAGCGTCCTGGAGAAAGGAGGACCGCAGAGATGAAGAAGCTGTATGGTAAAGATGCAGCAAAGATTCAGAGGATGGAAGCAGCCATGCAGCTCACCTTTGACCGCAGCTGTGACAAAAAAACAGCCCATGTACTGGCCTGTTATACCACTAAACCTGTAGGACGATCAGACTCCATCATTAGTATGCCTGGCACAACATCACAGGATGAAGAACCTGTTTTCTGAACTGCTGTGCTGACATTACTGAAGTGATGCATCAAATCAGCATCTGTGAGGACCTTTTGCATTTATAGAACAAACACTTGTTAGGTCCTTATAGACAGATAAAGCATTTAGAGAGTACTTTTAATAAATATTCAGTTCAGTAGGATCAGTAAAAACGGACATTTTGAGTTTGAGTTCTGTAATTCCCCATTTACACTCATTTTCTTTTGCAATATCTGTACATTTGTCTGTATGTACTGTAGTGGCATCCACAGACAACACAGTTCTATCTTTTTAAAGTTTCTCATATCTTGTAAATGATGGTAGTGCTGCTTAGATTGCAGAGTCGTTCTTTTCATGCAGTCATTTCTCCCTAACTAGGTCATTGCCTCCCCCACAGTCTTTGGTTAATGTGTTTTGTCTGTCTCCTCTTTTTGCATCTCACATGAGCACATGAGACAGTGTTTCTTGGCTTATTCTCTGGTGCAGTGTTTACATAGAACATTCTCCTTTTTTAATGCAAAGAAGTCATTGTTTAATTAATGTGATTTGATTGATTAATAAATGTATTGCATTGAAATGTGTGTGGGTGTGGCAGTTACAATGTTTTTAGTGCTTATTATGAATTAGAGATGATAATCCTATCTGATTAGAGTTTTTCAATGGGAAAAAAATAGATCTTATTATTCCTATTTTGAACATCTGTCTCTGGAGATCCAATTAGAAAGATCACTGTTTTAGTGGTGTCTCCTGTGACTGCTTGTGAATACGTTTTGAAAGGCGAGCCTCTGGTTTTGTGACTACAAACACCACTTATTAGGTCAGTGTGTTACTGCATGTTGATAAAGTGGAAAAAGTGGCTACTTCCAAAATTAATTAAAACAGTTGAAAGAATAGTTCATCCCAAAATTCAAATTCACTGGAAGAAGCAATATTATGGATAGAGCTCATGTTTTAGCCCGAAGCAATGGTTTGAACGCCTTAATAATGGATACATTTTTTTATTACAAATGCACTTCACAAGCCATTAATTGATGGACTGGAATCGTGTGGATTATTGTGATGTTTTTATCAGCTGTTTGGGCACCCATTCACTGCAGAGGATCCATCGGTGAGCAAGTGATGTAATGCTACATTTTTCCAAATCTGTTCCCACGAAGAAACAAACTGTTACATTTTGGATGGCCTGAGGTTGAGTATATTTTTGGCAAATTTTCATTTTTGGGTGACCTATTAAACTAACGTTAATTAAAATGTACAGAGTTTAAGCTCATTTTTGTCAAGATGAACTTGCATTAAATGTACGTTATGTAATGCTAATCATTAGTCAAGAACTAAGGGGCAACCTGTCTCATAGAAACAGTCTCTTATTGTCTTTTTCTTAAATAGCCAATGGCAAACTGACACTCCATATAAGCCATTAAAATATGAGACCCCCAAATGTAGCGTTGCAACATTGTCAACATTTTCTCCACAGGCATCAGGATCTGAGAAATTTGGAGCTTCTCTGTTTGCCCACTTAGTGAGACCATGCTGGCATAATGCCAAATGGCCAAAACTGAATAGAGTTCCCAGCCTGCCTTTTGGTTGCCATGGTGGTTTTCTCTGAGCATCAGGCAATTTATATTCTGTTGTACTCTCTGGGCTCTCCACAAGTTCAGTATCAAAGTTTACGACAATATGAAATGCTAAAAAATTGTGCCTGTTTGGTGTGTAAACTATATAATGGTGATTTACTTTTCTAATGAATAAACAGAAAACAACTTTTCCCCAAAACTTTTCGTTACCATGAGCGAGTATGGCACTGTTTTATCGTCCTTGGTTTAGCGTTCATGTGTTTCTAATGACTACTTAGTACTAGTAGCAATACAAAGCTCTGCTCTCTACCATCATTGCGCTTATGGAGAAAAGAGTAGCCCCGTCCGGGGAACCCAAAGAGTGACGTCACCGCAGCGATGGTCCCGAACTGGAGCGACACATTTGTTCAGTTGAGCGAAACTCTTTTCACTCCATACACCCGCCGAACTTTCACTAACGCCCCCCCGAACACAGAGAACGCAACATGGGTGAGTGTATGGTGGTCAGTGCATCCTCAATAGCGCGTTTGCTCAGTTCAGTATCAAAGTTTACGACAATATGAAATGCTAAAAAATTGTGCCTGTTTGGTGTGTAAACTATATAATGGTGATTTACTTTTCTAATGAATAAACAGAAAACAACTTTTCCCCAAAACTTTTCGTTACCATGAGCGAGTATGGCACTGTTTTATCGTCCTTGGTTTAGCGTTCATGTGTTTCTAATGACTACTTAGTACTAGTAGCAATACAAAGCTCTGCTCTCTACCATCATTGCGCTTATGGAGAAAAGAGTAGCCCCGTCCGGGGAACCCAAAGAGTGACGGCACCGCAGCGATGGTCCCGAACTGGAGCGACACATTTGTTCAGTTGAGCGAAACTCCTTTCACTCTATACACCCGCCGAACTTTCACTAACGCCCACCGAACACAGAGAACGCAACATGGGTGAGTGCATGGTGGTCAGTGCATCCTCAATAGCGCGTTTGCTCCATAGTTTCTTATATGTGTTTACTCTAGTATAATGTTTCTTTCTCTTCTGTTCGTTGTGAGACTCATTTAGTTTGCAGCTGCAAGCATCGCGTTTTTTTCGACGTACTCTATCTAGCTGCGAATCATTTGTAATATGTATGTAACATTTGATAATGTGCAATTTGTTTTGTTGCGTGCAGCTGTGGTTTCAAAAATTACTTTTTTCTTCATTTGTTTTATGCGTGTTTAAAGTGTTTAAAAACCACTTTTACGGTCTAAAACGGGCTTACATTAAATGACAACAGATATCTGTTAGCCTGTTGCATTAGATATAGGCTATATAGGTTGGTGTTAATATCAAGTATTTAAATTTTCTCCATATTTTAATAATTGTTTAGGTGTTTTTTTCTGGGTTTTGTTTTAGTTGAGATAGACAGTAATAAATAGACAGAAAATCATTAGAAAAACAATGTTCATCTCATTTTAGGCTTTCCAAATTCTGCTTTATGTATTTCTGCATGCATCAGTCAGTTGGAGTGATATTAATGAGCGTTGCTATGAATCTGTGAATCTGTGCTTTTTTATCCTGTACATGCAAAAATAGAGCTAATTCATGGGAAAGAATTCGTTCTTTCATTTGTCCCAGCTGTGTCCTTGGAATGGTTAGTTATAAAGCACATTCGTTGCCAGCTGTCTGGATCTACTGAGACTGCCACTTAAAGGGATAGTTCACCCCAAAATGAAAATTTGATGTTTATCTGCTTACCCCCAGGGCATCCAAGATGTAGGTGACTTTGTTTCTTCAGTAGAACACAAATTATGCTTTTTAAGTCCAGCCGTTGCAGTCTATCAGTCGTATAATGAGCTGCAGGGTTTAATTTGGATTTGTCTGTGCATGTTTTTTTTATTCTCATAGATTTTGTTACCATTGCCATGCATTATACGACTGATAGACTGCAACGGCTGGACTTAAAAATCATAATTTGTGTTCTACTGAAGAAACAAAGTCACCTACATCTTGGATGCCCTGGGGGTAAGCAGATAAACATAAAATTTTCATTTTGGGGTGAACTATCCCTTTAAGTGGCACATCTCTGCTGTACAAGTTCCCCTCAAGAGAGTGATATTAGGTTTGTATTCCTTGATGGAAGAATGTCATTCTTTAGAGGACCAGGACTAAAGAAAATGCTTATTGTATGAGTCAGAACCCAAAGTGTCTCCAATTCTCACTTTATCTCTCTCTGATCTTTCAGTCAGCAAAAAAATTATGGAAGCTTCCCTCTAACACCTACTGTGTTAATAGACATGATATATTAAGTAACACTTGACAATGATTTGCTTAATAGAGGCATTTATATGGCATTTAAATAAGTGGTTTTAATAAATACTCTCCTTTCCCAGGGAGGACAGACTTGTTTTATGATTGAAGATCTTTGAACATTTATGTCACTGAACTTCAGTCAGGAGACTTGTTAATAGAATTGCACTCCCACAGAATGGCATGTCTCATAGAATCTGCTTGTGATTTTTCTACTCATGATGAACAATTCAGGTAGAGATTCAGTTACAATCTTGAGCGACACACAGAATCTTTCACAAGGCCCTTGTGGGCCAGGTTTTTCAATTTATATGTTGACCAAACTGGATTATGGCTATTATTCACACCAAGGAAGGAAGATAACTATAATTATAACTACAAAGTTCTAATAATCATTCTAATTCTATGAGAATATGGTTATCCACACCACAGCAATAACAATAACTGCATTGAGGAAAGATACTGTTGGAATTACTTTCAGAAATTTTTTTCCAGCTGATGAATGATATAAACATTGACAGCTGATCAGAATCCACTTTAAAGTAGCAGACGAAAAAAATGCAGCACACACTTATAATAAACTGAACATCCGTTTGTGTGGGTGCCAATATAGTTACTGTCATATCGTTCTTGGTGAACGAGCCTTTACATTGAGAACTGCTTAGCTTCAAAGAGCATTTGCACTTTACCAAGTGTCGTCAGTGAGAGTAATGTCATCTTTCATTTAGCTACTTTGCAGCATGCGTTTCCAAGCAACAGCATCCCTCTGTGCATAATCCAACTCACATAATTCCACCTCAGACCTCACAACCTGTGCCATCACCGCAGAGCTCATGACTGCAAATGAAATCTTGTTTATCCAGTCTGAAACACCTCTGTGTCCATTATGCAAAGCACTACTTCTGCCATAACTACAGATCTGTGCCTCCTAGCCATTGCAAAGTCTCATTTTGTACAGCATAATAGAAAAGGTCACTGTAAATAACACCACAGTCTTCAATTATAAACTTCATTTTAAAACAGAAAATCAAATCACTTATCCAATGACATTTAGAATTATCAAGGGGAATAAGTGACTTTATTTGCTGGAGATGCCCTTTTTAACTAATTCGAGAATTTTGTCAGGTCTAATGTTTATCCGGTAGATTCAGGTAGTTTAAACTTACATAAAAGAACTCTTGGG